GTGTGTGTGTGTGTGTGTGTGTCTCGCTTTCTCTCTTACACACACACACACACACACACACACACACATTCAACAGGGATAAATATATATATATATATACATATATCGTCAAATAGCATGCCTTTGATGGTGTATATAAATATGAATAAAATATGTGTATGATGGTAAAATGAATAAAATATTTTTCAGGAAAATCTGAATGGATGAGAATGCATCATATAAACATACGTATATATAATAAAGTACGGCTTAGTACGCTAACATTTTGACCTGAGAAAGAGTTTGTTCTGGAGAGCTAGAGTTGGGCTCACCACTACAATAAGAGGCCTCCATATAACGCTACCATTGTATGGCTGGTTTACAACATGCTCCAACCCTCGATCCATTGTAAACCCATCCCTCTCCCATTGGCGCTGGGAGAAAGCTACCCTTACAAATACTTATGCGCCCGGTGTCGCCCCTTCGGTTATGGGTTTGAAGTAAGCCAAGCAATGCCAACCTGGGAGTTTCTTTGTCCTGACGATTCGAAGATGCAAAACAACAAATATTGGGCCCTTCACTCAGATGAGAGGCCTTCTGAATCATACGGGGTCACCCTTGTATGGCCATCATAAAGGACTCATATGCTAAGTGTCATCGGATGAACCACCCTTCCTAGAATTGGCGCTCGGAGAATGGTGGCCTCCTTCCATTTTTTCCATGAAAAGATGACGGCTTCACTATTTATGATTCGGAACTAAAGTGATTAGTCCCTCTTCAACCGTCTTTAGCAACTACTTGAGCGACTGTACCTGCTGCCCTTACTAATTGCCCTCCTTTTCCACGTTGAAGTTCAATGTTATGAATAGCAGTTCCTAAAGGAATTTGGGTTGAAGTAGGTTTCTATTCTTATTTTTGTATTAATTATTTTATCACAATACAATATTGTATACCACAGTAGAACGGTGGCATAGTCACCCATACTGCATCGCGGTTGAGAGCGTTCTCCTACTGCGCCTGCACCCCTGTCATCGTGGGGGTTTCAGTGTCGCCATCATCATTGAGGACGTTTCTTCTTCTCCTTTCGTTTTTCCTCTCTCTCCTTTCCTTCTCCTCCCCCTCCCCCGCTCATCATTTGCGCATCTATCTCACCGGGAAGCCCTTGAGAAGTTGAGAGTGTGTGTTGCTGTCGGGTCAGAACTGTGGAGATCATGAGTGGGGGTCTGTGGGGCTTCCTCGTCTTCTGCTGCTCGTCTGACGGTAATACTTCTTCGTTCCAAGATCGTGCCCTGCCACCACCCCCAACCTCCCTCCTCTCCGTCTGTTTTCATCTTCAACAGCTCGAAAGAGAGCTTGGTACCCCCTGGAGTGTTTACTTAGGGTTATTTTGAACCCCTGATGAGCCAATCAGATGTGAGGATTGGCGAGAAGGCCTTTGGGAATGCCCACTTAGTCTAACCCTTTTTGTTGTCCCGACATGCAAAGAGCCGCTTCAAGTTGGCCGGATTGGGACATTCTATCCTGCTCTACGGTCTCTACCCCCATATTTCCCTGGTTATTACCTCAGTACATGATACTACCTGACTGCCCTCTGGCATGAAAATCCCTTCTCTGTTGTTAATCTTGTTGTATGGTTCTGCGTGTGCTAGGAACTTGCTGCTGCATCTACACTTTCATGAGGAGAGTATAAAGGCGGGAAATTCCGCCGGCAATCTTTCTCCTAGGGATCGTTGTGGTCTGCTCTATACTATTTGGTTATCTGACCTTCGTCGCATATTTGGAGAGCGAGTGTGTTAAAGCGTTCTGCCATCAGCTATCTTTACATTTGAATCGTTTGCTGGGATTTTCTAGCGAAGCCAGGTGTATGGCCGGATGATGACGAGGATGGCCAAGGTGGCGAGTAATGGGACGCGGCGGGTAGTGTGGGTATAAATGGTGTTATGTGCGATGGTTCTCTCACCAATCTTTATGATGAGGTTTAGTCGGGAGGTGCTTGACGGGGGGGATGGAATGTGCATAGAGGGAGGGGGGCTGCATGGATACGCCGGCAGGAATGACTTGTTGCTCGTCTTAATTCTGATGCATATGTCCTTCCTATCAGCGCTTGTCGCTTTTTTTGGTTTCGGGGAAGCTCAGTCCTGCAATTGCTTATGCTGTAGCCTGTAGCCGTTTTGTCTATAAAGGGGATGGCCCGGATGGGTCATGGAGGAGCGAGCATCCTTGGATCAAATAATCGTGGAGCGGGAGCTTTTACAATTTTTCCGATTTGGCTGGTGGTAGATGTAAAAATTCAATCAGGAAGATCTGGGAATATCCAACCTGGAGGTCCGTGGACGGTAATTTGTTTGTAGGGAAATGGCGGGCTCATCATAATTCTGTTAAATAAGCGACATCGATCTCTATTTTTGCAGCAAGCATTTGGAGTGATCTGTTATACTATCGCTCTACGTTCCTCAACGTACACGTACGGGGCCTTTCCGTACGAAACATATAGGTAATATCTGTACAGGAACCTGTACGGGAACCTGAAAGTCTTGTACGCCCCCATACAAAAAAAAAAAAAAAAAAAAAAAAAAGTCATAAAAAAAAAAAACGAAAAAGAAATATGCCAGTGTGCTGCAACATCACAAAACAAGCAACATTTGGCTGAGCATCATCTGCAGATTCTTATTATAATTTGAGGGGAAAAAAAAAGTTGTACCGGCCGTAAGAGTAGCGTACGCCGTACCAGTAAGGAGTACGGCTCTTACTCGTACGAGGGCGAGTACAAATCGCTATTTTGAGTTGTTGTCTCTTAGACTAACGCTCACCTCACGATACGATGAATGTTCATACTCTTTCTCCCTCCCCTAGATTATTCGATTAATTAATCTTGGGATTAATTAATCTTGGGATTTCTTTGATCGATGAATGTCCTCTTAAAAGCTCAGAGTTCAATCTACTCGTAAACTTGCCCTGCCTTTTGAAGGATATATCCAAGGAACAGGCTGTTCATCGATTTTCGCTATGACCAATCATATGCCATCTTGAATGGTAATGGAATGTCTTTTGCAAAATGAGTCACGCATGTGATAATTCGTGCTCCCCATGCCATGGATGTTCACAATGATCCCTCCTTTTTCTCCCTCCCTTAAATTATTCTATTAATTAATCGTGGTATTAATAATTAATTGATTAATGATCTCTTACGGGTCAGAATTCTTTTTTTTGGGGGGAAACTGCTCCTGGGTCACACTTTTAGTTCAAAACGGCAAAAAAAACACTAAATGGCAATGTCCTCGTCGTCGAAGTTCAAAACGGCAAAAAAAACACTAAATGGCAATGTCCTCGTCGTCAAAGTTCAAATAGGCAAAAAAAAACTTATAAGGGCGTCGACAAAAATCATGGCCGTGTATCTTTCCATATTCTAGCAGAAGATTCGCTCTCGTTTTGCGCATTTCGAGAGTAGTGCAGCGAGGCCCTAACAGTGCTGCTTCCACGAATGCATCTGCCGAGAATATTAGCTCGGTTCGTTCCTTGTTGTGTTGTTGTTTTTTTTTGCTGCTGACACTTGATTTCGTGTTTTTCCACGGAGAACAGACGTGCAGACGACAAAAAAAAAACACGGACAGCTGACACTTGCCAAAAACGAAAAAAAAATAAACGAAGTTGAAAAGCAGGTCGTGAGGGGGGGGGTTGGCCGCGAGCAGGGTGTTCACAGTAGTGCCTCCAGGAATGCATCTGGCCAGAATTCCGCCGTGCTGTGCCCTGCCGCAGCTGGGGGAAAAAAAAAAGGTGGTGTTCGGCCCCATGGTTGGGCCACGGCCGAGATGTCTCGGCCACACCCCAGATTGGCCACACCCCAGATTGGCCACAGCCGAGATGTCTCGGCCACACCCCAGATTGGCCATGGCTGAGATGTCTTCACACCCGGTATTGGCCACAGCCGAGATGTCTCGGCCACACCCCAGATTGGCCACGGCCGAGATGTCTTCACACCCGGTATTGGCCACAGCCGAGATGTCTCGGCCACACCCCAGATTGGCCACGGCCGAGATGTCTCGGCGACACCCCAGATTGGCCATGGCCATAGCCCCACCATGATTTTTTTTTTTTCTTTTTTCTTTTTTTTTTTTTCCGTTCCAGCCGCCGGCGCGGCGTGACCATAAGATGGAAAAAAAAAAAAAAAAAAAAAAAAAAAGGAAGACAAAAGTGCCTGTTTCGAACAGGCACC